GGCCCCTGGCTGCGCCTAGAAATTCTGTCCATAAAAATAATGAACAGAACCGGTGACAAAGGGCAGCCCTGCCGGAGTCCAACATGCACTGGAAACAAGTCTGACTTACTGCCGGCGATGCGAACCAAGCTCCTGCTCCGGTCGTACAGGGACCGGTCGGCCCTTAGCAACAGTTAACAGAATATCAAGTGAAAAAATACTGCAGTATCTAATTTCACCAGTATCACCCAGCTCTACCAGCCTGAGCAGCAGGCCAATCACCAGCCACGTGCAAGCTCAACCACGACCGCAACCATACCTGGAGAAATGTCCCTGCACAATGCAAACAATGAGAAGCAACGCACACCACATATACAGACTGTACACACCACGTGGCAGCCAAACTGGAAATGTTGTCACCAGGAAAAACAAATTTAAAAATAAGTCATTTTTCTCCTTCAAGTGCGAGTTTCTTTGGAAACACAGTACGCCTCCACCTTGTCTACTCAGTCTCTCAGCTTTTGTCCTACTTTCTTTTGTGCTGATAATGTAAATTCTTTAGTGCAGAGTAACATTATCACCAGGGCCTCACACGTTTTGTCCACTTAATTTTAACCACTGTGGCCTTAGAGACTCAGTGCTACCGTTGCTTATAATTCTTGTGACCTAAAAAGTTATTTCAACATGTAAAATTAAAACACATTTTACCCAGACAGACCACTCTCTTTTTTAGAAAACACACTGGGCATTTGGTGTGTGTGACTTGTTAGCGGTATGCTAGTAACAGCATCACAGATGGAAAAGGCATCAACAAAAGGGTTAGCGCTGGATGCAACACGACAGTATGCGGCTCTACCTCAGTCCATGAACACCAACCCAGATGTCCGGGTCATTTTGGGGCAAAAAATATTACTTTTAACCGTCCAGAATAAGCCAACACGCTGCCGGGCAGCCCAACGCCATCAACAGCCAAACCTTCACCATCACATTCTAAAGACCAAGCTCTCTTCACTGTAGAGATGAACAGATGAAAAACCTCTTCCCAGCTGCCAGTAGATGGTGATATTTTGCTAAAGGCTGAGACGGAGAGAGGTGGAGAACATGAGCCATGCAACATGAAGAGCAGGCAGATTAGCAGAGGGTGAACACATGCAAGAGGAAGAGGAAGAGGGGCAGCCAAAAACATGTGTATGAACACCTGTAGAGTGGAAGGAAGAACAAAGACAGGAAACACAAAATAGGATAAACCGGATGAAACAACAAGATGGCTGTTATAGTACAATACAATCAACACAAACTTCACAAAAAAAATGGATTTTAAACATGTGTGAAGTCTAAATCTACAGGAGAGCCGGTCAACAGGATTTTAGGATATGTACAGGGTGGTGTAATTAAAGTTTTTTTTCAAAATAAAGTGTCTCCTGTAGGTGTAGACTTCAGTGTTAATAATAGACATGAAGACACAGATCTAGCATTTTTAGACAAGTGATGACACTTCATGCCAATGAGACATGAACAGGAAGATTTTTAATACTTAAATAACCTGTTCAAACATGCAGACATGTGACAGTGAGGTTTTCAGTTTGAATAAAGCATTTTGTATGCAAATACTGCTCGTTAGTCAAAACTTTGCATATCCACTGCAGGACACAAGGAGCAAACGCAAGGAGCACTACAGGTCATTTTTAAATCCAGCAAACCAATTTTTATCAGATATAACTTATTATAAGTGCTTTATAACTGCTCTTAATATTTGCTCGGCATTAATCACAATCACTAACCTGTCGTCAGCATTTTGTGATGTATTAGTATTATATCATTTAATAAAACAAGCTTTATAAATAGATGCAAAACCCCAAAAAGAACAATCTATTCTTCTGAATAAATAAAAATGTTTCCAACTCAAGACTTCTCTATCTAACATGGGCATGTTTGTGTCCTGTGCATGGCTCAGTATTAGGGGGTTAGGTTTGCACTGCACAAGCTTCATGCATTTTCCACTGTTACCTCCCTTTCTAGAAGCCTGTGTGTTAGCTGGCACAGCACGGTCACACTCCACTGTGTCAGGCTGTACAGAGAGCAGCAGGTGGGTTGGCTGAGTCTGCAGCAGAGACCAGGACACTGACATGACTCATGGGTTTTAGGTCTATAAGAAAACAAGTGTTATTGAACAAACTGCAGTCTGAGGATCCCCTGTCTGGGGCATAACACCACTTTGATTTTAGAAAGCGCTCATCAGACTTTTTATGACAAGTGAAAAAATGTGGCATGTCTACAAAAATGTCTGATGCGCTTTTATCGTGTGGGAGTGGAAAATATGTTGACCTTTACAATAACTGTCTGGTTTGGATACATGTCTGCAGAAGATAAGATACTTTATACAGGGTTGTTATCTGTGCAACAAAAATCATTGTATGTGATATTCTGTCACTAGAGGAGATCTACAAAGCAAGATTACAAAATAAAGGAGTTAAGATTTTGATAGATCCCTCCCAAGTAGGTTTGAGGAATAACTGAACGAGGGCTGGGATATCGCAAGTTCACCCACATTTCTCCTGTGTCTTAGTAGCAGAGAGCTGTGCCGACCGTCATCTCCAGGGTTAGTGGATGACGTGACGAGGCCAACTGCGAGCAGGTCTTAGCAACAGCGTCTGAGTTCTCTCAGACTACTCAGCCGCTTGTCACACAAAATACAGCGCAAATTACTCTCAGGTCAAAAATATCTCATAGTTATGACTGACAGGAACCTTGTTTTTAAGGTGGTGGTGGGGGGGGGGACTACTTTTCACTTGACATTTTTCCAAAGCATGAAGTTCTGATTTGTTTGTCTAGTCGGTTTGGGAAAAACAAACCAGCTGAAACAATGACCTCTGGGACAGAGGGCTTTTCAGTGGAGACTATTCAACAAACATCCACTCTGCTGAGGGGCAGCTGAACAAACAGCTAATCCTTACAGCAAGTCAGAGGAGAACTTCCCCAAAGGAATCAAAACTCAGCAACAGAGAAAGACGACTATAGTTGTTACTTTAACATGTTTGGAGCAAATATCACTTTCATCCAGTGTGATATTCCCTTTCCCCTGTAGTGGATATGCAGTGTAAATCTGACCAAGGTGAGCACAGAAGGAAAGCAGAGGAGCTGTTACCATCACTAGTGTTAGAGAGCTTGGGTATAAAAGGAGCCTCTGTGTGACCCATCCTGGAGGTCCAACCCCAGGGGGGAGACACAGAGAGGAGGAATGAGTCTGTAGGTGTTTTTCCCATCAGCACAGGTCAGGCCTCTCAATTGAGCAGGGAAGGCACAGGTTGGCCTCCGTTTCCACCTGTTTCTAGGAGCAGGGGCCAACTTTGCTGACTCGGGGCCGAGCACTGCCTTCAATAGAGCCGGCTCATCGAGATACCTGACCAGCTGAAATGTTTGCGTCGAGGGAACATCCTCACATATTCAGCATTCACTTTTTATCCATTATTTCATTGCAGCAAGATTTGAAAATGGGCTCTCTCACTTGGTCTTCTGATTAGTTCAAATAAAGCCTAGCACCAAGGGATCCAAGCTGGTAACACCACGAGTCATGTGTCGCTTCCCAACACCTCACACCGCCCCACATGGTCAAGTTGCAGGTAAACAATGTGTTTTATGCTGCAGTGGAAACACAACTGCGTTGACTCGGGAGCAGCTCAGCACGAGCCCCGGCTCAGAAGGGCTGACCCATGCTGATGGAAAACCCCCATATGTTAAAACAACAAACTATTCTATGTATGAACCTGTTGAAAACAGCCCTGCGGACTTGGGCCTTAATACTGCGCAGCAGTTCCAACTTGAGGAGCCTCTGACACAGGCAATAGGTGCACCTGTTGCAGGCGCACATGCAGTGAAGACGGGAGTGGCTGTGGAAAGACACAAAAACGTGTGTATTCACATTCGTACAAAGACAACACACACCTAACATCACACCAGGAAGAGGCCAAAGCCAGAGGGATAAAAACCTCGGCCATGTCTAAGCACTAGGCTGGATTAACTTCTGAGCTGCAAGCTGCGCTGCTGTGAGTCTGACTTTAACCAAACAAAAACCAGTATAGACACGTTATTGTCTACAATGAACCTTCAGTCTAAAGCTGAAAGAAGAACAAACACAAGGAAACAAAAGGAGGAAAATCACAAAAAAGGACAGTCACAACTAAGGAATTTTTTGAGTGAAAAATAAAAAACAAAATGGAAAAACTCAACTGCTGTTTGTCTAATTTTTGTCTGTGACCACTGCAACCTTTGTTTGACCAATTCCCCACTACATAAACTATAACTAGGTTATGAGCAAGAAGCATTACACCACCACTAGGACAAAAAAGACATTTCTTCTTGAGACCATGGGTCAGTTTCACCAACAGACTGTAGATTGGTCTGTATCATTAGGACAGTCTTAATTTTGGTCTTATATGAATCTAATCCAAGGTAAGACAGTTTCACTAAATTTAAAAGAAGACTGACTTATAGGGTAGGACAGGATTTCTGGCACATCCCACTGAGTGCTAATTAATCTACTCTGAAGTCAAATCTGATCAGGCAGCTTTGACAAGTTAAGATGCCCTGGAGGCTCAGAAAAGACAAGAGATTAACTCTAAAGTTCCAGACAGGGGCTTGCACAACTGCACACAGTTACGCACAGATGCAACTCACAGGAGAGCATATTAGACCACCACTACACATTTCATTTGTTTTGGGTGTAGGCAGCTAGTTCTGGGCACCACACTCCTCGTCTACTGACTGCAGTGGCTCAACCTAGTGAGACCAGCTTGTAGCTTCTCTAGCATTAGGAAGTTTACAAGTTACACAACATATAGACGGCTGCTGGTGTTAATTTTCTGATGATAATGTCACAGCCCGTTTTGACACATACATCCTGGAGACAGATAGAAGTGGAAAGACACTCATAGGAAAAGACCGGCATGGTGGATGAGGATGCACGACTCACAGAGGTGTCAGAGGTTTAATACTCACGGATACATGGCCATGGTGGTGAGCCTAGTGTAGATGTCTTTGTTGGGAGCGTCTGTCGTGTTGCACGTGAACGGCTGGGGTGGGTGCAGCTTGTGCTTACGGCAGAAATCGTGTGGAGAGAGGTTGTAGTGCTGCCGCACTTCGTGCAGGTCTGACTTGGCAGCGATCACCACACACGGCGTCTTGCTGTCGATGAAGTGTTGCTGCCAAACACAACCAGTCAATGTAAGCAGTTAGACGGTACGAAGCAGACCATGTGTGCATCTGATGAGCATCCTTCTGTCTTCTACACACCTTATACACTTTGGCGCAGTATTCAAAAGAGCGTGGATTGTTGACATCATACACCAGACACACCACGTCACAGGACAGGTCGGCCTCCGACAGGAAGTCAAAGTCTGGCGTCACCTCGTGAAGCTTTCAGTGTGCAGACAAGACAGGGAACACAAAGAAACCGAGAGGGTGTTCAGGTGCACGGATTCATGCTGTGCAGAGTACTAATGCCAAAACACTCAGATTATGCAACAGTAAACCACAGAGCAGATGACAACTCACCAACAGGTACTTCTCCTGACCATAAACATAGGTCGTGCTGATGGCAAAGAAGGACTTGTGGTCCTCTCTGATCCGCCTCTGTTGCTGTGGTGGAAAATAAACAAGGTCAAGAGCAAACACCCATGAAGATTATTTACATGGTTATGAGTAAGTCCCCTTTGACCGTGGCTTGCTTGGTTATAGAAGCCAAGTAAAGCACATGCAGCTTTTCTCATCAGTAAACCAGCTTATGGCTGATGTGAACTGACAACAGCTTCGTTAGCATGCCTTGGAACTGACATAGCGTCAATTATTGGACAGTTTACTATCCAAGATGGTTAAGTTTACTTGTATTTTGCATGATTTTGTTGTAGTTTGGGCTGCCTAGGTACAAGCACAACTGCAAAGTCACATGAGCCGCTCTTTCCCCGACATGTCCACCAATAAATGAACAAGACAAATAGCAGGTTTGTTAGGTGGCATGAACAGATGACTTGGTTTCACTGTTTTTTTCCAGCAAGACATCCACATTTCAAATGAAACCAGCCAATGACTTAATGCCTAAATGAGATTTTTCAGCTGTAAGACCAATTTTAAAACCTCAGTTGATGTGATGTAAATGTAAAATGCCATCCAACATTGAAGCAGTCCCACTGAAACTGAGAAAACTACAAGGCTAAAATTACGATGCTTTAAAGGGAATGTAAAAGAACCTGCAGCCATGA